CCCCATTTGCAAATACCAACATTTTCATTTTTGGAGGTATCAAAAAATAACAACACTTTAGTATATATATATATAAATATATAGTCCGCGGTAACCCAAAGAAAGGTTCTGCATATGGTCAGGATGTGGTTAACATTTGTCACAAGGTGCCTTAAAATCCTTCATGGGGTTTCGGAGATAAGGAGCGGACATGAAACCCAAGTCTTTATCCTTTGGACTGAAGGTGTGACCCCGACCTTGAGCCGGCACACAGTCCTGGCATATAAGTTCTGCATATTATCTAGATATGCTAAAGAACTGACCTAAGTTTCATAATTCTCAATTCTCAGGGGGTGGATTGAGTGGTGCATATTCATGGAATAATAACTGATCACCAATCAACAGCCCTTTCCAAATAGACACTTATATAATAGTATATAATAATAAAAAACAATAATTATATAAAATCAAATAATATAAAAAAATCAGCCGAAAAGGGTCGGCCGAAACCAGACTTGCACGGCCGAAAACGACTGGGCCGATTCCAAAAATGGGCTGAAATGTTACCAAACCACTGTGCTAGTTTTATACTCACCTATGGGCTGTTATGAGATTTGAAGGCTGTTTTGATTTGCTAAAATATGTATGAAAAACAAAAAATAAAATATGTACGAAAAACAAAAATAAAATATGAATGCAAAACTAAAAAATATGTATGCAAAACTGAAAAAATATGTATGCACAACTAAAATAAAATATGTATACAAAACTAAAAACAAAAAAAATGCAAGTGTCACTTTTATGCCACGCAAATTCTAGATATTTCAAGTGGTAAAATTAATGAAACTTTTATCACTTAAGCATCATAAAGTATTGACCGCCATCTTGAACTCCACCTCAAATATTCCAATGTCGCAGATAGAAAATAAGTCAGTACTCAGTATTGAAGCAGAACTCAGATGACACCTTTAGACCTCTTGAACCCAAAGTGCGTTGATATGTAGCATATTAACGCACTTTGGGGTCACTTTCTCGATTTTAACCCCAAAGTGCGTTGGACCCCAAAGTGCGGTGCGAAGTTAAACGCACTTTGGGGTTGGACCCCAAAGTGCGTTTGACCCCAAAGTGCGGTGTTACACAGCTCAGTGAATACACTCGCGTTACTTCACGAAAGAAAATGACCGATAGTGAAACATTTGACCGATGCGCCGGAGAGTACCCCCTTTCTCACTCCCTTTACGGCTAAGGTGTGTTTCTACAACAAATTAACATCATTATACACATACATTCTACAAATTAACGTCAACAATTGAACCTGGTGAACGTTATTAAACTTTCGTTGAACCCAAAGGTATATACTGCACATATCAAGTTTTTTCAGTAATTTGACAAAAATATTATAATTGACAACTTTTTTTTTATTATCCTACCTCTTGAACTCTGAAACTTTTGATGATCCAAACACTGTCCAATTAAATCAAATCAAACAGGCGTGGCTGTTTAGGTCGATAAAACATATAATATATAAAACAGCGCAAATTTAAGACTGATTTGTCACAGACGACATAATTATTAAATATTTGATATGTTTCTTCGAAATCAAATCTTCGTTTGAAAATATATCGCTTGGAAAATAAGATTATATGCGCAGCTCTTGCAGTCATTCGCAGAAGCTTGCATCAAAAGAAGATAGGAACGGACGGCCAATATTTTTGAGGTTGGTGAATTTATATTTTGAAATATAACTCTGATTCTTGAAGGTTAAAAAATTCAATCTACGGTTATTTATTATTTTGGATAAATGATTGTTTTGTTTTGTTGGGTTTTACGTCGCATCATTACAGTATAGGCCATTTGGCAACTTTCCAGCTTTACTGATGGAAATAGACCTCACGTGCCTGTCCGTGCATTATTTCAGGCAGGAACGGGCACCTGAGTAGAACCACCATAAGCTAGCTAGATAGCTTTGTAACACCGCACTTTGGGGTCCAACGCACTTTGGGGTCCGACCCCAAAGTGCGTTAAACTTCGCACCGCACTTTGGGGTCCAACGCACTTCGAAAAATCGAGAAATTGACCCCAAAGTGCGTTAATATGCTACATATCAACGCACTATGGGTTCAAGAGGTCTGAAGGTGTCATCTGCGTTCTGCTTAAATACTGAGTACTGACTTATTTTCTATCTGCGACATTAGAATATTTGAGGTGGAGTTCAAGATGGTCAATACTTTATGATGCTTAAGTGATAAAAGTTTCATTAATTTTACCACTTGAAATATCTAAAAATTGTGTTCATATAACAAAATTACGGTGGCATGAAAGTGACATTTGCATTTTTTTTGTTTTTAGTTTTGTATACATATTTTATTTTAGTTTTGCATACATATTTTTCAAGTTTTGCATTCATATTTTATTTTTGTTTTTCGTACATATTTTATTTTTGTTTTTCATACATATTTTAGCCAATCAAAACAGCCTTCAAGTATCATAACAGCCCATAGTTGAGTATAAAACTAGCACAGTGGTTTGGTCACATTTCGGCCCATTTTTGGCATCGGCCCAGTCGTTTTCGGCCGGGCAAGTCTGGTTTCAGCCGAGCCTTTTCGGCTTATTTTTTATATAATATGTATTTTATATAATTATTTTTTTATTATTATATAATGTTATATTAGTGTCTATTTGGAAAGGGCTGTTGATTGGTGATCAGTTATTATTCCATGAATATGCACCACACAACCCCACCCCCTGAGAATTGAGAATTATGAAAGTTAAGTCAATTCCTTAGCACATCCAGATAATATGCAGAACTTATATGTCAGGTGTGCCGGCTCTAGGTCGGGGTCACACCTACGGGATAAAGACTTGGGTTTCATGTTCGCTCCTTATTTCTCCGAAACCCAATGAAGGATTTTAAGGCACCTTGTGACAAATGTTAACCACATCGATACCATATGCAGAACCTTTCTTTGGGTTACCGCGGATACTAAAAAGTGTTGTTATTTTTTTGATACCTCCAAAAATGAAAATGTTGGTATTTGCAAATGGCATTTGCATATGGGGTCCTGTTATTTACAGATAGCGAAGTGTTTGAAAATGGTGTTTAACAAATGGTGTAATTATCCAAACCTCTACTTTGCAAATGGCGTCATGTAAAAATATGTACGAAAAAACAAAAATAAAATATGTACAAAAAAATAAAATAAAATATGTATGCAGACTAAAAAAGAATATGTATGCAAAACTAAAATAAAATATGTATGCAAACTAAAAAAAAATATGTATGTAAAACTAAAAAAAAATTGTATTCAAAACTAAACTAAAACTAAAAAATATGTACGAAAAACAAAAAAAAAGTATATAAAAATACAAATGTTACTTTTATGCCAACGTTCAAAATACTCTAGTACAGAAATTGTGTATTCCTAGAATTAAAAGATGCTGCGAAAGAATTCGAAACACTATAGTATTTGACTTCCATATAAAATACTATTTCACTATAACTGTACTCATCATTGCCAAAAAGCAACAGATGAAAAAGATGGTTCAGGTAATTGGCCAATGTGTATTTTTTGGATAATATAGAGGAACATCAAAATAAAAAAGCTTTTAAGAAAAACAAATAAAAGCATAATGGGCCTTTAAAACGTTATTTTTAACCCTCGGGGGGATCGATACCCCACAATCCCCTCTATACCCCCAGTGAGAATTTAACATTATTCTGAAGCTCCGCTCTTAATGTGCGACTACTTAAATAGTTGATATTTTTAGTACTGCCTGTACGGACTACTACTTAACGCTGCATCTACACCAAGTCAAGTTTCTTATATGTCACATTTAGCTTAATAAATGGCTCTTTCAACATATTAGGCATTTTTTTTTTTACTGAAATGTCTTACTGAGATTTCCCAGAATTTATACCTGTGACTATGCTAAGACTATCATATTTCTTAAAAATGTGTAAATATAAAAACGGGAAAACAATGCATTTAGCTTAAAACAATGGAGTTAATGAAAGGTGTACATTCTTTTAAAATAAATAGAAAATTTGAGAAAAAATATTTTAAGCTTAATAATTGATACAAATTCTTTATTTGGTGATTTATTTGGTGAAAGTTTTTTGACTTACTAATCAAGACCATTTAAATCCCTATTGATTCTACTATAATTCAGGGCACATGTTTGTGTCTATTTAATACCTTGATTTTTTGTTTACCATAGGCTTTGACTACAATATATTATTTAAAACATAATGAACATTAATTTTCTATGACCCCAAAGTGCGGTCGTTTGCCTGATGTTAAAAAATGCATATGTACCTGTTCAACGCACTTTGGGGTCGAAATTGGACCCCAAAGTGCGTAACGTACTCTGGGGTCGGACCCCAAAGTACGTAACGCACTTTGGGGTTGAACCCCAAAGTGCGTTTGACCCCAAAGTGCGGTGTTACATAGCTTCCTCACATGAAAAATTAAAAGTTAAGTGGTTAAGTTAAGGGGTTAAAAATGAAGTCTGCGTTTTAAAGAGCGAAAACAATGCCGAATATCATGATTTATAAAAATAGTTTATTATAACAATATCTTAAAACTAATGAAGCAATAGCTAGTAATATTATCATTAGAAGCGAAACTATGCTTATAACTCAACACACAAAAATGAATCATTTAAACGAACTTTGTATGTTCTTTTGAACTACCTTTATTCCTTTTCTTATATAATGTGACCATGGTTTTCTACTTCTTTTGTGGCATATTCTCATTTTGTAGATTCTAAAGTAAGATGGCATTGGATCGAGATTAAAATACTTAAACAAGGAGATTAATGTGTTTATAAAAGCTACGACTATTAACCAAAATATCGTTTATGTATACAAGAGCTACTTTTCAAGTTTTGAGCACTTTTTCATAAGATTCTGAAAAATAAAGGTTGTTCACCTTACAGGGAGATAGGGCAAATGTGAGAACATAAGTTCAAATATGACGAGACTTAATTGTTAAACATGTTGAATCATCTAGTCATCGTACCTAGTACTTGTTTCAAATGAGGAAACATGGACTTGTCGCGAGTAAGGCTCCAGCTTACGATCTGTGCCCTGACTCGCAGTGAGATGGTCACTTTCCCCCATCCTCTTTTCTCGTTAAGATGAGCGTCTACAACAAAACAACATCATTATAGACATATTTACAACCTCATTTTGTTGCAAATTTGAGCAAAACTTGAAACTTGAAGTTATTAGTTAAAAAATACAATTATAGTTGATATATTACCTTACATTGTTAGACACTCGAAACTTGATGCTTCAAACGCTGTCCAATAAATTTATATCCTTCAGGCATAATCCTTGCAGATCGATGAAACTTTTTACATAAAACAGCGTAAACAAAAGACTGGTTGTCACAGTTTGAGAAAAAGCAAACATCGCAATTACTGAATATGACATATGTTTCTCTTAAGAAAAGTCTTCGTTTGAAATTCAAGACTTTGAAAATCAGTTAAGGTGTGCAGCTTTTAGAATCACCAAGTAGAAGTTCGGATCATTAGAAGTAAAAAAATACCGGAAAGGTTGGTGATCTTATATTTTTTCGCTCAATTTTCAAAAGAGTATGATAGACCCGGCTTCCATAAAGTTTGGAAATTTGATTATTTTACCGTTGTACCATAAAGTAAAATCCGTATGGAATATACTTCGGAATCTGATGATTACGTTGCATATCTAAATATAGAACGTCAGCAGTGATTTCATTTAAGAATAAATATATCCCAAACAGTGATTTTATCGCTAAATAAAATCACAGTTAGAGGAAATATATCATGAGGGCGTATAAGCCCTTCCGAACGGCAAACAGTAATTTTTATCAAGCGATAAAATCACCGATTTTGGATATATTATTTCGATTTTAACACGACATCAAAAGTATATGATAATACCTAAATTGCGCCTGATTTGTTTCGGTACTTATTTTCAGCGCGTCGCATTTTAAGTGGTTACGGCACATGCCCTATTGTTACGTCACATGTCTTAATTTAGAACGTCAACTGTGATTTTATTGCATATTCTAACACGACCCACATTTTTCCCTATTGAACATAGAAGAACCAAAAGTGTGTGTTATTATGCAATAAAATTACAGTTCGACGTTTTATATTTAAACATGTGAAGTAATCATTAAACACGTGACATAACCACTAAAATGTAACGCTATGAAAATAAGTACGAAAACAAATCAGGCGCAATTTAGGTTAATATCACGTACGACAGCATTTATATATGTTGATGTCGCTTTAGAATCGAAATAATATATCCAAGTCGGTGATTTTATCGCTTGATAACATCACTGTTTGGCTACGCCCATAATTCCTCGCATCCGAGCTCCAAACAGTGATGTTATTGAGCGATAAAATCACTGTTTGGGATATATTATTTCTTAATTCTAACACTATCGGAAATTTCTCTTTATAAACAAAGAAGGCCGGAAGACAACAATGCACTTTCTGTTATTATTTTCTCCCTCTGTATTTTCAAATCGACACAAAGATGGAGCCATTTTGCTTGAAAAAAAATCTAATTAATAAAAAACTACTGTTCGTTGAATTTTGTTCGAAAACTATCTAGAATGAAAGGAAATGGTCTATAATTAAGAAAATAAATCCGAACACTAATATCTCTTATTAAGTCATTAACTCTGTACCGGTATTTAAAGTGTTGTTTACGTGACGCCACAATGTAGCGCAAAGCAGCGCATGCGAAAGCAGTCAAAATGAGAACGCTATTTCAAAGTCGCAAACAAATTAATCACTATAAATATAAGTAATTTGCTTGAAAAATATAAAGTGAAATGAAATTAACACACAAACATTTTATCAATGTTTTCAAAATTCATTATTATCAAAATGTTTCTGCAAACGGTAGACTTTACGACAGTTTTTTCAACCCATTGGAACAGCCTTTATTGAACGTTAGGAAACTCTTGAGGAGAAATAATTTTAACCACCTAACATAAAGTCCAACTTTAAGCTTTTTATTGACGTGTTAGAATGGAAATATATATTAAATCTTCGTGCATTATTGTATATTATTTTATGCTTTTCAGTGGATTACTGATTTATCCGTGAAAATTATATTTGATAATTTCACAGTGAAAATTATCAAAATATAATTTCACACTTTTCAATGACGAAACTACTTTTTTAAGATTTTCCCCATGTGGTATCTCAATTTTATTTTTGCTGACAATTCTGACACTGTCAGGCTGTTTAAAGAAAAAGCAAAGCTGAAAATGATAAATAACTTAATGTCCAAAGTAATAAAAAGAAGAAAACTTACTTCTGTTCATTCAAATTCCAATCACCAAATTTCGTCTCTATTTTTTTGTTTCATTTTTACAGTCTGAAAAATACATTCCTTCCACATGCAAAACGGCTCTTGATGACATTTTGGCATATTAAAATATCCTACGAGCAATAACTGCCGTATGCTTTATGAAAAATTGAAAAGCAATGACAGCCATCACTCTAAGAACAAGTAAACAACCCAGCGTTCCTGAGCCAGTTTTCCATTTTCCTAGCTCCTTTTTTTGAATGTTTTCACATCTGTCAACACTTATTTTTTGTCTGTTACAATCCTCAAATAAGTTTCCTTTCTTTTAAAAAGGTGTATGACTAACAAATCCAAATGATATCCCTCTGAATCAAACACAATTATTTTCCTCCCGTCAAATACACAACTTTAAAAAATGGCTGCCACAAACAGTTTACAAAGCCAGGACTAATATAAATTCGCAATAAGTAACAGAAATATGGATGGATGGTTGGATTTTTTCTCCTACAAGAATGGTTTGTTTTTATTATTAAAACAAGCGATCATTCATATTTTTTAATAAAATGAATAATATCACCGTCATTTAACGTTGATTGTCGGACTTTTTTTTACGTCTAAATGGGGCTCTCAATGGGGAAACAGATTTTAATATTCACGTAAATATTATAAAATTTCGTTTTAACTTGTTTTTAAGCATAAAATAAAAAAGAAAATTTGTTTGTTTGTTGTGTAAGATGTAATTTTTTTTCATCTCGTGAACTTCAAAAACAGTATTCTCACTCGTGGCTACGCCAGAATACTGTTTTTAAAGCCCACTCGATGATATAAAATTTCATTTTACACACAAACAAACAAATATCCTCTATATAATGCACGTTTTTTTCTTTTAAATTCTTTGTAATTAATCACTCAGACCTATTATTCTACAACAATGCACTCAGAATTGATATCTCTCTCCCCCCCCCAAAAAAAAAACAAAAAAAAAAACAAAAAACAAAAAAACACACTCTTTCGGTCCTTCTATGTTCAATTGGGAGAATGCGGGTCGTGTTAGAATGTAAAAGACCCTTCTATGCTCAATATGGAAAAATGCAGGTGTTGTTTAAGTGCTCTAAGTGGCCACAGTATACCATGAGATGACGGAAAACATTCATTGCACCGAAATTGCACATACCGTGTATTGAGGGCCACAATATATTATATAAGAAATAAGATTCGACGATCAGAAATTACCTTTCATAATATTGATATCACAATCATAATTTTGGTAGGCACAAACATATATTCTAATACATTTAAAATGAATTCAATATTCTAACTTATTTCTGTATCAGTATAACAATAAAGGCTTTCATATGCTGATAAAGTTGTAACAAACAATGATAGTTAAAAAGTACATATAGTTATTTTGGCCTTATTACAAATTATTAATTGATTTTTGACCTGAAAGTGATGTCGTTTTTCTGATGTTAGAAATTGCATATACATCTGTGCATAGTACGAAACGCATTTTGGGGTCCGACTATATGATTCAATGCACTTTTAATGCGAATTGTATTATAATTGTATTATCTATTTCAGGTGAACAAAATGACAGTTGTGTACAAAAAAGCGTTTGTGCTGATTTTATGTCTGTTGGTGTTTGATTGCAAAAGTGACATAAGTCGAACTAAGGTTGTTGAGATGGCTAGATTGTTGTGTACAGGACAAGACATCTGCAGCGTGAACAATTCACAGACTGACACATTTCAAAGTGCAAGCGTTTGTTGTTCTGGTACGTATTTAGTATTGTTATGCCCCACATTTTTTACTTTCAATATGACCTTATGCGACGTCTGATGTGACGTGTCGATCGCAAAAAGATTTGTAGACTTTTTAAATAGCGACGCCGTAGAGGTTTGAATAATGATTTCTAATATATATTCATTGCTACCAATAGTAAGATTTTTATCTCAAGGTAATTATGATAGTTAATATGATGACTTTAATTATCAGGAAAAAATATAATTATATAACAAATAGGTGTCACCATTTTTGTTGTTTTGTTTATCAATTTATAGCTTTGAAAAAGAGTGGTAAATGAAACTCTAAAGAATCATTACATCATACAATATCCTTTATAGAACGTAAAGTCGACCTATGTCGCAAGCCGCTAAACGTCACATGCAGCTAAACGTCACATGCATCTAAACGTCGCACCACTTCCGCTAAATATCGCAATATAGACTAATGCATGTTTGTCAGACGAGTACACGTCAAAATCAATTGAATTTACTAAATAATATTACTAAATACATTAAGTCGGACCACTCACAAACGTCAGTAGCATCTGATACACGCGAAGTTCGAGTTTCAAACCTCTTTCTATGCATTATAAATCAGCTGTTCAGTATTTTGTAAAGGAGTCTTCTGGTTGGCCAAAAGTAAAGAACCCGCTCTCACAATGATGTCTGATGGCGTAGAAAGCAATTCAAAGACCATGTAGAGGTTTGGAACTCGAATCTCGCGTGTATCGGAGGCTACTGACGGTTTATAATTTTTATATTTACGTAAGCCAAAATATACAGCATAGTTTACTTTCATTACTTATAGATATATTCTTAGCAACATTATGCCTAAAAAACAAATACATTCCCCCCCCCCTTAGAAATTGCAAATAAACGGTTTAATTCATGGTTTTAGAGCATGATAGATACTTGTTACCTGAAGAAAGTAGAACTGAATGTGAAATCATTGGTCAGAAAAGCAAAAAAAATGAAAATGTAATGTCCACACAAAATACTTATTCCTTATAGCTCTTCTTATTCCTCGAAAAGCGTCAGAAGCAAAATATGATCCAGGTAATTGGCAAATGAGTAAATATTTTGGGAAACTATAACAGAGCATTAAATATATATATAAAAAACTTTGAGACATAAAAATAAAAGCATTTTCTGAGGCACAATGGACCTTCGTAAGATAGCTGTGTATAATTACGGGAAACACATACATATTTGCATACGACATACTATAAAGTTGTTAGATTAGAAAGTTTAGATTTCTTCAGTACGAAGTTTAACGCCTTCCTTTATAAATGTCATGAATGTTATGCGGCAACACAAGTCAAAATTACCTAAGTTGACTGAAAAAAAAACCATAAAATCACCAGAAAATTTCTTTGTTTTGCATATTATCTCAAATATCCTAGTAATGTCGGAAAATTTCCGCCCCCTTCTTGTAATAAAAATATTTGTGACTGGAACACAACACTCAAGTTCATATATTTACAGTGGACATTTCAGATAGTACTATCACTGTAGTCTTGAGTCCGAAATAGTTCGGTAGGCACTTGTTCAAGAATATTATTAATGAAAATTGCAAACAGCGTCTTGGCTATTGTTGTTATTTCTACTT